CTTATCTTATCTTATCTTATCTTATCTTATCTTATCTTATCTTATCTTATCTTATCTTATCTTATCTTATCTTATCTTATCTTATCTTATCCTGTGTTGTGTTGATAAAGAAAGTGAACCAGGCTAACAGCATCAGAATCAGCACATTTAGACAAAATCGAATGTACCGCATGTTATGTTCACATTTAATGGGACAACACAGTTTTAATCTTCCGCTCTGTGGTCACTCGACTTGCGTGATGACACCCTGAGCAGCTTTTCTTCCTCACATCCCCTCGTCCAATCAAACTCCAGGCGTCCATACCGGGTCTTTCCGCAGAGCTGTGCAGTGACAAAGTTGTGCTGGGAACCCACTGGAATGATACGGTAGAAGCAACCGCCGGCTGTCTCTACGGTGTCTTTCAGCTCGATTTTCTGAACCACCCTCTGATGTGCTGCTGCCAGCTGAGGTTGAGGTGGGGGAATATCTGCCACGAGCTGCACGTCAGTAGCAAATGTGTGTGCGTGCTCTGGAATGTGTAAACGTGCTGCCCGTGCAGACTGGAATCCATGCAGAGAGATGAGTTTGTACAGGTTGTTTCTCCACTCGGCCATGCTTGGTCCCGAGGTTTGGAGCAGCTGTGTGGAGCACTGAATATGAGCAGCGGACACTGTACTATTAAATGTTGGGTCACCACCCAAGTCACTGCTTAGACTTCCCCCCAGACAAGTGGCCTGGACTATGGAGCATGAGGGCACATCGGCAGGGGAGCTGTACAGTCCACCTTTCAACCCGCTCTCAGCAGCATTAGTCTGAAGTGTAGAGGAGCAGGACTGTGGGTTAGGATGGTGCTCAGAGGGGACACAGAGTTTTCCAAGATGTGGCAAGTTGTTTTTGAAGACTTTGGACTTCTTGTAGAGGGCCAGCACTCTGTTATCGAGGCCAGCCTGCACATGGTTAGCTATGCTGTCGAATTTGTGTGAGAAAAGGAGGAACCTTTGATCCTTGATTGGTGACGGTTCTGGTTGTGGTTGAGGATCCTCTGGAGCCAGCAGTGGAGAGTAGGTTTCATTTTGCAGCTCTACGAACATGAAAAGGGCCATAAAATGGTTAAAAAGGTTTTCATGACCACATTAGCTGTTCCTATTTCAACTGCACAAAACACAACTAGTCCCCCAGAGCTATGGAGTGAGGGCCTTCTGGGGGTGCCCAGTGTTGACTTCTGCTAGAGCCACATGAGTTTAAGTCTCCACACTGAACATTATTCTTGTTTCCTTTGATTGGTAAACCTCTGCTCATGTTTACGTTTCTCAAGCTCTTTGTTTTTTTCATACCTTTTCCAGCCGTCTTAAGATTTGATGCTGCTGTATCAAATTTTTAAACATTTGGTTTTCTTTCCACGTTCGATTGGAAATACAAAATGCATTTATGAAATCTTCAAATCACTGTATCCTAGATTTATTCACATTTTACACAGAATCCATCTTAGGTTGGTTTAATAACAGTAAAAATGATCAATATTTGTCCCTGTAAAACTCTACCTTACCTGGTCGTTCTGTTCTGCCTCTTTTCTCCTGCTCACTCTCTTTCCTCTGAACACATCACAGTCAACACAAAACAACTAATATCAGCCAACGAGTGACGTTTGTTGGAGTGAAGGCCCGTCAGCGTCTCTACCACCTCAGACGCTTGAGAGACTTCCAACTGCCCTCCAAGGTGCTCAGGAACTTTTACTCCTGCACCATAGAGAGCATCCTGACGGGAAACATCTTAACCTGGTTCGGGAACAGCACCATGCAGGACAGACGAGCTCTACAGAGGGTTGTGCGGTCAGCTGAGCGCACCATCCGCTCCGAGCTCCCTGACCTGCACTCAATCTACAGCAGGCGGTGCTGGACCAAGGCCAGGAAGATCGTGAAGGACCTCAGCCATCCCAACAACAGACTGTTCTCTCTGTTGAGGTCAGGAAAGCGATTCCGCTCCCTGAAGACCAACACAGAGAGACTGAGGAGGAGCTTCTTCCCGCAGGCGATACGGTCTCTCAATCACACCACCACACAGTACTGACCCACACATATGGTTCTTACACACACACTGGACATTCTGGACATTGTTTTCACTTCATCACTTAATCACTTTAAGCATATTTGCACTGCAGAAGACATAATGTGGATTGCACAACACTGGACATTATATTCTTCATTTCCAGTTAATACTTGTACAGCTGCTGTTATTGTGTATATATATTTATTTATATTTCTTCATACATTCTTATATAGTTCTATATTGTGTATTTTGTTGTACAGTTATTTTATTTTCAACTTTAATTTATATATTTTATCTTATTCTTCCCAGTTAAATTTACCCTTCATTCTAATTTGTGTTGTACAGTTATTTCATTTTTAACCTTAATTTATATTTTATTCCTTCCTAGTTAAATTTACCCTTTTTAATTTTTCATATTTATTTCCTATCTTATTCATAGCCTTTTCCTTTTTTGTTTTCTTTAGGTCACGAGCAGTTGTCCAAGCATTTCACTGCATATCGTACTGTGTATGACTGTGTACGACTGTGTACGACTGTGTACGTGACAAATAAAATTTGAATTTGAATTTATTTTGAATTTGATGTTCACAGAAGTATTGCTGACTTCTGATACTTCTGACGGGGAATCATTTTCTCAACGTACTTTTCTTGTTTGGTCGGGCTGCCCCTCGTCCTTCCTCTCGCTCACATCATTCACTGCGAATGAAAACTGACTGTAAGGAAGCTGCCATAGTAACACATTAATAATAGATGGTATATAAAACATGGACGGAGCTTCTGGGTGGGACAAATGAAGCCAGTGTGGAAATGATTAAGCCTGCAATCTTTGTGAGGTAACAGCTGTGAAGAAAAGCAGTCTGCTTCTACAGAAGACTCTGTGAAACAGGTTTCTATCTCAGCCTCAGTGATCACTGTCCGCCTGAATACACATATGAACTATTTTTAATAAAACTTGGACTTACTATGTTAGCAGCTCATGATTAACAACCCAACCAGCCGGGATGTGGTCTCACAGTCAGACTTGCCCCTCCTCGTCACATCCTGGTTTTGTAACCAGGATGGTGGAGGCAGGAACACTCCTCTCTCAGGGATTTGGACTTCAGAAATAGTGTCGTGGTCGCTTTTAAACAGTTTAACATAGAAAAGTCGTTTCCCTCAGTTGAAACTGTATCGTAGAAACTGAGATTTGCAGTGTTATATTGACAAATGTAACAGAAAAACACACTTTTACTAGAATCTGGACTTAAACTGCGTCCATGTAGGAAACAGCTAGCAGTGATGTAGAGACCACAGGAAGTCAGTGACATCACAAATGACTGTGAGCAAAAAAGCGTGTGTCCTGAGATAAGTTTGAGTGATGGCTTAGACGTCATATAAACGGACGCAGCCTCTGATGTCACCTACGCGTGCAGGTTAGTCAGACCTCCAGCTGACTGTTTAGCCGTCGTTCTCTGACGTCACATGAAACTCAGGTTGAAACTGAGGGATTCTGCATGCTCGTGGGCTAGCGGCGTGTCAATGCCAAGATAGGCCTGAAACATAGCCATCATGCTCTGTGACTCTACTGGGGACAATAATTACCAAAAGAACAAGGACTGTTTGAACAGGAAAGCCATTACCGAGGCTCCAAAGCGAGTGTGGCTGGTTTTCCATAGACTTCTCTTCTTTTACATCCAGAGGACTCGCCCTCTGGTGGCCATTAGGGAGAATGCAGCTTTAAACGTGCTCAGCAAACATTTGCATTCATATTTTTGGTCAAAGCAATAAGGACACAGTTCCCCTCTAATTAAACTGACTTTGAATGGATTTTACTCAAAAGAACAATGTAATCATGTCAATTGAAAAATACTTGACAGTAGGCAGGTTAGAATAACACGTGGTCTTTACTGGAAACAAAGAAATAATTATACTGCAAGTAAATTTCAAACAGTTTAGTTCCAGGCCATATTATATAGTATTACCATATTTTAAAGTTAATTTATTGTGGGGATACTTTAAGCATCTCTGAATATTAGGGACCTGCCCCCAAAATATATATTTCAAATACTGCTGTGTACCTTTGGGAATGACTTCATGGAGCTCCATTTCTGTCTTCAGCTCTCTCACAGGCTTGCTTTTCTTCTCATCACAGGAAGTTGGTCTAGATTTCAAATAAGCACACCTGAATTCAGTAATTCATGATGTACACGATTACCACGAGATGTTCTGAATGACTTTTGAACACTCACAGGAGGTCCGGAGCGTTTGTTGGATCATCTGCTTGCTTCTGAGGCGCCACACTAGCGTCCTCAGAGGGTTTCGGCCGTTCGTTCACAGGACTCACAGTCTGGATAAACTTCTCCATCTCGTCTTTTCCATTTTCTTTCTTCACATCAGTTTTTTTCTTTTTCATCGCCTCCAGCTTCTCTTGAGGTTTTCCAGCTTCCTTTTCTGTCTTCTTCTCTGTTTCTTCTTCCTTCGTGTCCTCACGTCCTTGCCAGTCACGTCCTTTGAACATTTGAACACAAACACGTGATGGAACTAACAGCAGTGTTCAAAACCACCATGATGCATTCTTTAAATGGGACCTACTCTCTTCCCCACCTTTCATATCCCATTACAGTGGTGGATGCTCCTGATAATCATGGCCTTGTCTGAAGCAGTGACACAGCGATCGCCATGAGTCCAAATCTCATGCTGTACACACTGTGAGAGAGCCGAGACGCTACAGCCTCCCCACCAAGGGAAAACCACCAAAGTGCGGGTGATGGGAACCAGCTCTGTGACTGTTGGGGGAAAACTCTGTAAAAAACCCAGGAGAAATAAAGACACAATGAGACAAGGTTTCTTTTTATGCTTTAACGTGAACACGGGTGAGCTGCTGAGAACAACTCACGTCGTGAACAGAGGCTTGGCACTTTTTATAGGAAAGACAGTGAGAACAGGATAAGAAAATAATAAACAGATAAAATAAACAACTCCATATGCTAGTCTCGTCAGCAGAGAGCTGGGAGAAAGCTGTGAGAGATAAAACAATCTAAAACAATATGTCCCAAAACAATATGTCTTCGCTGGGAAAGTCTAAAAGGATAATTCTAAACTAATCTAACCATAGACAAAGGGCATCTTTGTACATTTAAAAGAAGGTAAAGAAACATAGAATCATTTTCCACTAACAGTGACCAATCACACTCAGCTGACGCCTTTAAAGTTTGCTGTATCCAGACAAAGTCAGTCTGTGATTGGATGAATGTGTCTGTTGGCAGTTACATGAATTCAGCGATTAACTGTTTAATATGCACAGAAACACAGTTATTGACACAGTTATTCACAAACCCACCCCAGTCTCAGCGTGACTGCAGACAGCGCTGACTGTGAGCACACAAGCCCCGCCCAGTCTCTGCTAGTATATTCTGTTGGTGAGGGGCAGCCAATCAGAGGAGGTTAGCTTAAAGACAGCAGAGCTTTTTGTAGACAGCCGGGCGAACTGAGAGACTGCAGGCCTAGAATAACACAAATGAGGATTATTTCGACCTGCGACTCATGCTAAGCTCTCGTACTCTGGCAGAATTCAAGACAGACTTTTAATTCATTTGAAAGCCTGATGCTTAGCCTCGTCCACCCCAGCTGTGAAACTCAGAAACCAGTCTTACTTGTTATCATCTATCGTCCACCTGGGCCTTACACAGAGTTTCTGTCTGATTTCTCAGACTTTATATCTAATTTAGTTCTGAACTCAGATAAAATAATTATTGTGGGTGATTTTAACATCCATGTAGATGATAAAAATGACAGCCTCAACATGGCATTTAATCTGTTATTAGACTCAATTGGCTTCTCTCAAAATGTAAAAGAACCCACCCACCACTTTAATCACACTCTAGATCTTGTTTTAACATATGGCATAGAAACTGAACATTTAACAGTGTTTCCTGAAAACCCTCTCCTGTCTGATCATTTCCTGATAACATTTACTATTTACAATAATTGATTACACAGCGGTGGAGAGTAGACTTTATCAAAGTAGATGTCTTTCTGAAAGCGCTGTAACTAAGTTTAAGAATATAATCCACCCACTGTTATCATCTTCAATGCCCTGTACCAACATAGAGCAGAGCAGCTATCTGAACGCTGACCTCCAACAGAGGTCGATTATCTTGTTAATAATTTCACCTCCTCACTACGTACGACTCTGGATACTGTAGCTCCTGTGAAAACTAAGGTCTCTAATCAGAAGTACCTGACTCCGTGGTATAATTCTCAAACACGTAGCCTAAAGCAGATGACTCGTAAGCTGGAGAGGAAATGGCGTGTCACAAATTAGAGGATCATCATTTAGCCTGGAGAAATAGTTTGCTGCTTTATAAGAAAGCCCTCCGCAAAGCCAGAACATCTTACTATTCATCACTGATTGAAGAAAATAAGAACAACCCCAGGTTTCTCTTCAGCACTGTAGCCAGGCTGACAAAATATCTTTTCTCTTTTGGTCTCCCCTTTTTGTTAAATCCAGAATTGAATTCAAAATCCTGCTCCTCACATACAAGGTCTTAAATAATCAGGCCCCATCTTATCTTAATGACCTTGTAGTACCATATCACCCTATTAGAGCACTTCGCTCTCACACTGCAGGCCTACTTGTTGTTCCTAGAGTATTAGTATGGGAAAGACCTCAGATACTTGAAATGTGCAATTCACTTGTATTTTTATTTTCTATTTATTCTATTATCCCTTGTATATTTTATTTATATATGTTGTGTTGTGTGTGTGTGTTGTGTGTGTGTGTGTGTGTGTGTGTGTGTGTGTGTGTGTGTGTGTGTGTGTTGTATAAATAATGATTCTGTGACTTCTGTGGTGCTGTGCTTTGGAAACCGAATTTCCCAGAGGAACCCACCCGAGGAGTAATAAAGTTCTATCTTATCTTAAAAGTAGAATGGGAGGCAGAGCCTTCAGTTTTCAGGCCCTCTTCTGTCCAAGCATGTCTTTCCTGTCTTCCTTCTCTCACCCCAACCAATCACAGCAGATGGCCCCGCCCCTCCCTGAGCCTGGTTCTACCGGAGGTTTCTTCCTGTTAAAAGGGAGTTTTTCCTTCCCACTGTCACCAAAGTGCTGCTCATAGGGGGTCATATGATTGTTGGGTTTTTCTCTGTATGTATTATTGTACGGTCGACCTCACAATATAAAGCACCTTGCGGCGACTGTTGTTGGTGCTATATAAATAAAATTGACTTTAATTGAATCTAAGAAAGAAAAAAACGCCGGCCTTAGTGAGCACGAGGCCATAAAGATTTTGATGAAGGTATTTTAGGGAAAGTCCCAGAGTGACCAACACTTTAACTGTGAGGCGAATGTACAGGACGGTCTGCATGTACAGTATTTTCTTGTTTTTCTATAATTACAGTACTGTGCAAATTCATGAGCTGGACATCATTTTTTCTCTCGCAGCCTCTATTGATCACATAAGTATTACAGGAAAAAAACAAAAGTGGCACCAATGTGTCAATATATACGAGCCTAAACGGATTTAAGAGCCAGCAGTCTTCAGTCAGATTTGCTGGTTATGAACAATCAATCTTCACAAAACGATTAGGTATTGATTTTTATTTGACTCATTCTCCTTTACAGTAACTGCATCAAATCAATCAAGTCAAACAGACAATAACTTGCACACATGTAGCAAAACTTCAGTTATGGAGAAAAATTATGCTTCTCTTTCAGCTTCCATCAGAACAAAACACAAAGGATCATCGTTCAGTTGTAGGCTGACGCTCACACACGAATCACTATGAAAATATTACAGCCGTTAAAAAGCACAGCTGCTCTTTATCCTTCAGCACGAGACAGAGACACACACACACAGACACACACACACACACGCACTCGCACACACACGCACTCACACACGCACACACGCACTCGCACACACACGCACTCACACACGCACACACGCACACACACACACACACGCACAGTTTAAATTACAGGCCAACATTTCTTTAAATTAAGTGCTGTACACATCTGGTGATATAATCAGACAATAAATAAAGAGTAAAGGAACACCATGGCTTCTTCCTCGTCACTTTTAACACAGATTAAGACTTTATGTTGCTCCTGAATGTTGGACATTTATTAAACAGGAAGAAACTTTCACATTCGTGTGGGAGCAGTGACTCTTCCCTCACACATTTGCATCTGTGACCACTGTGCAGTGACTGAATTCAGCAATGCTACAAGTGCTTAGCGGGTCTGATGTGAGGTTTTCACTGCATGGACTGACTCGAGCATCGCGTCGTGTCGCCGCTGCTGTGTTCCTCCTGACTGATGCTTCTCACTGAGAGGTTTCATTGCAGACTGGTCATACGGTTTTTACAACGCAGATGTGTTCCTGCAGCTTCTTTCTTTACTCTGAGAGCAAAATTCATTGTTAGCTCTTCATAATTTACAGTTTGACAGAAATGCTAGTCAATCAGGGATTATCCCGGTTTAAAAATCTGAAAGTGATACAGCTTACAAAACAGAAACAGTTTAGAACAAGTCAAGCTTATAACAGGTTATTAAATCACCAAATGCTGTTATTAGTCTTGAATTCTCTTTATCCACCGTACTGGTTTCAGCTGCTTTTACCTGTGATGTGAGTGGAGCTCTGTTGTCTGTAGCAGACATGGCAGCCGTGCAGCTGGAGTGCAGGGAACGGCTACACTTGCCAGCTGTGCCAAACTGCTTCTTTAAAGGAGCAGTTCTTCTAAACGTTGGTTGAGTCTAAGCTGAACTCTCCGCACACACGTTTCTACACAGCGACCCTTTAAAATGATCAGCGCTGAGAAGCCTTTTTTCAAACTGTGGCGCTGGTGATGAACACCATGATGCTGTATGTGAACGCAGCCTTAGCTCTCGTGTTAGCAATGGAAGCTGCTCTGCACTTGGAACAACGCAGACTACTTTGCTAGTATGCACGAAGACGCCAGCATTACATTGCAGTGGGAACTCATTTTGCATTGGCAGCATGAGCCAGGATTCCCCAAACGCAGCGGGATAAAAGAGCAGATGTGTGAATACGTCGTTTCTGCTACAGCTGCTGATGGCAGTTGGTACATCAGTTTAATCTTAGACAGGGGCAACATCACAGTCAATCAGTGGAACAGTTTTCAAACCACACACACACTGTGTGTGTCTTAAATGTAGTCAACACCTGAGATACAGAGCATAAGTTCTTGCATGCTGTTAGAAATGATACCTGTTTTTATTATTTTTGCTTGTAACAATAAAGGCTTATAAATAAATACAAATAAAAGTGGAAGACGTTTCTGATCGCTGAGAGCGTCTGAACAACAAACTGCTGCTGGACCAGAATTAAGAAGCTACTTTGTGATTGTCGGTATTGCAGGTCGTGACGTTGCTGCAGAGACACCGCTGTCCTCAGTGTGCTACATATGGAGACGACAGTGGGGGGATGCATTGTACGGGGGCATCGGGAGGGTGTGACGAAGACTACGAGCTGTGGCGTAAACGTTCTACCTCAGCTGGTGACGTGGCAGCGGCAGGACACGGGACGCCAACTCCATGAAAGCTCCAATAACACTACGCTGTTGTTCTGATCGGGAGCTCTGTGGTTACAAACCCACAGTCTCATGAAATTTTGAGAAACTCCACTGCAGAACAAAAAGTGTTCAGGATCCTTCACATGTGTTTACATAAAGCCATGTTTTTAATGATGTTGTTTATTGTAAAGTTAGAATAAAACAGTATGTGATGCCTTTCTTTGCCCCATTCAAGGGGAAATCTTTGGACTTACTGTAAATGGAGGTGGTCAGTCTACTGTAACTAATCTTTTGTCCTGTCCAAATGTAATACTACAAAAACATCGGCGTGTTTAAAACTGATTGTAATTTCACGCTTTGAGCAAAAACATTTACACCTATAGCCAGAATGCTACTGCGTGCTAACGTCACAACTCAATAGATCAAATTCTGAGTCTTCACTAAAATCAATCAAACGTAATTTTTAATAGAGAACCGCCGTCTTATGATCCTGATGCGTTTCCTGAGACTGGGTGGGTGACATCTGAGCGTGCTTAATGTTGAGCGAACACACGCTGCCAAACGTTGTCACCTGGGGCAGAGAGCCGAGGCGCTCTCTGCTGACGGGCTGAAAGTTCCAGTATTTGGAGGAAGGGCGGGGGTGGGGCGGCGGTGCCACTGCAGTCCGAGTGTGTACATCATCAGGTTAAGAGGGTCTGCTCAGGCCGTCATTCTTGCAGGAGCGTCTCCCTCCAGTCAAAGCTGTGGTTTGGCCCATGTGTGAGGGGGAGGATGGGAGGGTCCGCTAACTGCCACACCCCCGTGTCCCCCTGCTCCTCGCAGGAGCAAAAGCCCAGGTAAGGGATCTGAGGAGCAAGCAGAGCAAAGGAAACGTGACTCGGAGAGTAGATTAAAGATGACGGCGGTCCAACACAAAAACTTTGTAACATTTTCATTATCGTTTCCTGGATTTTCCCGTGTTTCCAAATTGAGCGCTCCTCATTTAACCTCCAACAGGAAGGAAGCCACGACTTCATAGATATTATGTTACAAGACTTTGTTTTATGTGTACTCACACTAACAGAGCACGTGACGTGAATGTGGGAAATACAAGGATAATAATCTTTGTATCATTTCTTTG